CCCCGGGCTCCAGCGTGCGAGTGGAGGGGGAGCAGGCACCGGGGGAACGGCGACGGGATGCCTCCCTCCAGCCTCTGCTCCCTCAGCAGTGCTGGGGAGGGGTCTCTAAGCAGTAGCCCCCGGGCACTGTACCCCCCACACTCACTTCTAGCTGTGGAACAAAGCGACGTCGCCTGAGCTGGGTCCCCGAGCTGTGACCGAGGCCCGGGGGCTGGATTCCCTGGTGCCCGTCGTGGTGCAGGGGGAGCGAGGGGCGACGCGAACTGGCCGGCTTCTTGCCTGACGAAGGGCGCGTCGTGGGGATGTGATGCTCTGTGCAGAGATTTTTACTCTGATTTCTGGGGAGAAAAAGAGAGAAAGAAACAAGAAAAAGCCCTGAAGAACCATGAAGATCGGTAATTGTATTTCTTTTCTTTCACAGTATGCATTAGAAAAAAAAAGATCCCATTTTCTGGAATACTGTCCTCTTTAAATTGGGAATGAGCACTGCATGGAAATTAACCGGCTGGAAGAATGTAAAACATGGTCGTAAGGGAGTAACCACCAAGAACAGCAGCCACCACCGAAAGCCCCCTTGTCAGGAGCACTGTGCAGGCCTAAGCCAGGAGTAGACTTTCCTGACTGCTGCAACACGCAGACTCGGCGCGTGCAGACACGTTGTGCTCGGCGGAGGGGTCGCCTCCTTAACGGGGCAGCGTGCTGCCGCCCCGCCGCCGCGGCGCAAAAAAAATTTTTTAAGTTAGCCCTTGGTGACTCCCGCTCTCGGAGCAGGTCACCCGTACCGAGAGCCGGAGAGGTCGCTCTGAGATACGGAGGACAGTGTACAGTGTACAGGACATCTGCCTGTTCCTCCCACTAAGGTCCAACACCCTGCTCACCGCCTGTCCTAGCTCCTCCGGCCATGTGTAAGTGTCCAGCCAAAGGGACTAGGACGTCCCGTGAGCTCTGCACAGCGTAGGTGCCACCTCCAGCCCCCCGCTGCCCGGGCTGCCGGAGCAGGGCTCTGCGTTGCCACACGGCTCATTAACAGCATTCTTCCACACGCAGATGTTTCCAGATTTTATTTTTCTTTTCGCTAAGCGTTTTTGTGTTCCGTGGAAGCCGCGGCCCAGCCCGGTGCGGCTTTGGCCTCGGGGGGGCGGCCGGGGTGCGCTGAGGGCTCTGCCGACGCCTGCAGAGCGGCGCAGTCACTCAGCAGACCCCAGACGGAGCTCCTCAGAGAAAAGTAATAAGTATTTATGCCAAGTACAGTCACCTCTGAATTTTGGAGACTAGCACAGATGGCCGTGAAGAACCTCACAAAGCTGACAAGGTCGCAGCTGGAGAAAGACGCAGACAGGTTAGGAGTGCACAGGGTGCCGTGAACCGCTGGGTGCGTGCGCTTTCCTCGGCCGCTGTCTCAAACACGCGATAAGAACCCTGCAAAAAGACTGTTTGAACGCGGTGTTTCCCCCGAGCTGTGCGTTTAGAGCTGGTTGTTCCTGAGTTCCGTGCTGTCGGTGTTGTGAGAGACCGAAGAGCGAAGTGACGCAGAGGAATGGAAAGCGTGGCC